CGCTGCTGCTGGTGCTGGGGACCCGGACGTTGGAGCTCCTGCTGGTACTGAGGACCCGGCCGCTGGAGTCTCTTCTGCTTCTGGAGCCGCTGCGCGGCCGCGGCCGTACTTCGTACCGCTCCTTCAGCAGGTTCTTGGGCAGGCTCCTCCTCCTTGTCCTCCTCCCTCCGTAGGGTGTCTCCCGCCTGTCCAGCCACAGTCACAGTTACCGCCTACCTCACCTCTCCCTGCTCCCTCTCCTTACACTGGTCCCATAGGAGGTCTTACAGAGCGTCGTGAGCCTGAGTCTCGTCCTGCGTCGCCTGTTCGCACTGCTCGCACTGGTCGTCGTGTCCGTCGTGAGCGTCCTCCTCCTGTCCCAGGCACTCACTACATGACTCTGCGTCCCTCTACTGCTCCTCAGCGTGTCCCTCTACCGTCTCCTCCTGCGTCCTCTTTGCCTGACGTTCCGGACCCTGAGTCTGACCGGTATCGTGCTGAGCACCCTACTGTCACGCGTCTCCTAGCTACTGTTTTCACTGACCCTACCTTTGAGTCCTCGGCTGCGTCTGCTCTAGTCGCTGAGTTGGTTGACTTTGCTGCTGCCTGTCGTCTAGACTACGCTGCTAGCCTTGTTGCTGAGCCTGCGTCTGCGTCTGTCTGTCCTCCGTCCGTCGGGGGTGAGTGTGCTCTTGGCACGGACGTCCTTGAGGACAGGCAGGAGGACTTTGACTCTCTCGCGGCTGCTGTACCTCATCTCGTGGCCTGGTTGCTTGCCCCTGAGGGAGACCCGGATGCACTAGACATCCCCACTCCGCGCACTTACGCAGAGGCGATCTCGGGTCCTTACTCCTCTCAGTGGCAGACAGCCATGGACGCAGAGATGGCATCCTGGAAGTCCACAGGCACCTACGTCGACGAGGTTCCCCCTCCTGGGGCGAACATCGTCGATGGCATGTGGATTTTCAGGGTGAAGCGGCCGCCAGGTTCTCCGCCTGTCTTCAAGGCTCGTTACGTTGCTAGAGGCTTCAGTCAGCGTCAGGGGGTCGACTTCTTCCAGACCTTCTCCCCCACCCCGAAGATGACCACTCTTCGGGTTCTGCTGCACGTTGCTGCTCAGCGTGACTACGAGCTTCACTCTCTTGACTTCAGCACAGCGTTCCTGCAGGGCAGCCTGCACGAGGAGATCTGGCTGCGCCGCCCACCTGGCTTTACTGGGTCGTTTCCTCCTGGTACCCAGTGGAGCCTCCGCCGGCCAGTCTACGGTCTCCGCCAGGCGCCACGTGAGTGGCACGACACACTGAGGACTACACTTGCGGCTCTTGGGTTCGCGCCGTCTACTGCTGACCCGTCGCTGTTTCTGCGCACAGACACGTCGCTGCCGCCGTTCTACATTCTCGTGTACGTCGACGACTTGGTCTTTGCTACTGCTGACACTGAGGCACTCGCTCGTGTGAAGTCGGAGCTGCAGAAGAGACACACCTGCACTGACCTGGGTGAACTGCGTAGCTACCTTGGCTTGCAGATCACCCGGGACAGAGCTCGCCGCACCATCACCCTGACTCAGTCACACATGGTGCAGCAGGTCCTTCAGCGCTTCGGCTTCCATTTCTCCTCACCACAGGCCACACCTCTGGCTACCAGCCACTCGCTCTCAGCTCCACCTTCGGACGAGTCCGTAGAGCCGAGTGGCCCGTACCCAGAGCTTGTAGGCTGCCTCATGTACCTGATGACTTGCACGCGACCTGACCTCGCGTACCCTCTTAGCATCCTTGCTCGTTACGTTGCACCTGGGAGACACAGGCGAGAGCACTGGGAGGCTGCTAAGAGGGTGCTGCGTTACTTGTGCAGTACATCAGGCATGGGGCTGGTGCTTGGAGGACACGACAGAGTTGTCCTCACTGGTCACTCGGACGCTTCTTGGGTGGACGACCTGGCTACGCAGCGGTCGTCACAGGGTTACACCTTCAGCCTTGGCTCTGGTTCTGTCTCGTGGCGGTCCACCCGCTCTTCCTCTGTTCTCGGCTCTAGTTGTGAGGCTGAGATCTACGCCACAGCCATGGCTGCACAGGAGTTACGCTGGCTCACCTACCTGCTGACTGACTTGGGAGAGCGGCCTAGTTCTCCTCCAGTTCTGTACGGTGACAACAAGGCGGCTCTTGCCTTGTGTCAGGAGCACAGAGTGGAGCACAGGACAAAGCACATTGCTCTTCGCTACTTTCTTGCTCGAGAGCTTCAGCAGCGCGGTCAGCTTCGGCTTGTGTACGTGGACTCGAAGGCCAACACTGCTGATATCTTCACCAAGGCGCTCCCGCCTAGTGATCATCAGCGGCACTGTACTTCTTTAGGCCTTGTGTCCACGTTTCCTCACTTGCTCACTGCTTGACATTCTTTGTACTGTACTTTATATATATATCTTGTTGCTTGCTTGCTAGGTTTTGATCACTGTGTTGCTTGTGTTGTACTATATCTAGCACTGCATGTGAACTGGCCTTGTGGCCTTTGCTTGTGCTCGGAGTGTGGTGACGTTGTGATCCACCCTGGGCTTGCGTTGCTTTGCTGGACTGGTCTTGTGACCCTTTGTTCTCCCCCACTTTGCCTATGGGGGTGTGTTAAATTGTAATGTGTTATATGTTGGTAGGCTGTAGTGGGGTAGCCAATATGGGGTACATTCCCAACTAGGGTTTGCTACTTGTACCCAACTGTTTCATTCAATGCATTCATTCTTGCCTAGTTCTTCTAACACACCACTGTCGGTGCTGTCGGTGCCGTATAATGTAATTGTCGGTGCCGAAAATACAAATAAGTGAAATAATCGGAAAGCTCTAGAAAATAGAATAGTAGTCCGATTGAGGTGAAATAAAGTGCAAATGAAAGAGGAGAATAAGAAGAATAAGATAGAGTAAAAATATGGACACGAGAAATATGTCGAACGTCGACGTACTCTTACACTTCCCCCCCTCAAAGCTGGGTGGTAGACGTAACACCCTGCTTGACAAGATAGTCGCGAAGAGAACGTCGGGCGTTACTCATGTCTTCTTCAGAGACCCAGCTGTCCTCGGAAGGATCATAGCCCTTCCAGCGTATGAGAAACTCCAGGGCGCCATGCCGACGACGACGATGTGCAAGCACGGATTCGACCTCGTACTCAAGTTCATCATTCACGAGGACTGGAGGCGGCGGCGGAGGTTGGCGTCCCGTGTACAGCTTATTTGGATCCCGATAGGGTTTAAGAAGCTGCACGTGGAAGGCGTTATGAATCTTCCAACTAGCTGGTAGGCGCAAGCGGAATGTGACTGGAGTGACCTGCTCTTCTACGAGGAAAGGTCCGCAGAAGCGAGGTCGTAACTTGGATGGAAGGTGACCGAGGTTGAGGTTGCATGTGTCGAGAAGCACATGGTCACCAACCGCAATGGTATGATCACGTCGATGGCGATCGGCCAAGCGTTTCTGTGAAGACTGTATGTCCTGTAGACGCTTGTGTGTCCGATCCCAAAGCTGCTGCATTGTGGTAACGAAGTCGTGCGCGGGTTGGACAGTTGCAGGTACTGTCGGCTGTTGAGGAGTTAGCGGATGTCGACCGTAACAGAGGAAGAATGGGGTCTCTCCTGTTGCGGCATGCTTTGCATTATTGTAGGCGAACTCCAACACCGGCAAGTGCAAGTCCCACTTGTTAATGTCGTCCTTGCACGCTGCGCGCAAGAGTTGTTCCACAATTTGGTTCAAGCGCTCTGTCTGCCCATCGGTCTGGGGATGATATGCAGATGACATCGCTAGGCGTGTCCCCATGAGCGACATGAGCTCTTTCCAGAACTTGCTAGTAAACTTGGGGTCCTTGTTGGATATGAGCGTTGTTGGGATCCCGTGCTGTGAGATTATGTGTTTGAGGAATAGCTGTGCCGTTTCCTCCGTGCGTGCGGTTGTTGTTAAACTGTATTATGCTTGTAGGCTGTAGTGGGGTAGCCAATATGGGGTACAACCCCAACTAGGGTTTCATATTTGTACCCAAACTTCTGCTAGTTCATCCATTCTTGCCTAGTGATTCTAACATGGTATTCAGAGCAGGAGGTCCCTAGGACCTACCGACCGTTTTTTTAGGGCCCACCACCGCTCGCATGCGGTTACCACGCTACCCCGTGCCCTAGCCTCGTAGCGCCCTCGTGCGCCCTCGTTAGCGCCCTCGCGCGCCCCTCGTTAGCGCCCTCGCGCGCCCCTCGTTAGCGCCCTCGCGCACCCTCGTTAGCGCCCTCGCGCGCCCCTCGCTAGCGCCCTCGCGCGCCCCTCGCGCGCACCCTCGTTAGCGCCCTCGCGCGCCCCTCGTTAGCGCCCTCGCGCGCCCCTTGCTAGCGCCCTCGCGCGCCCCTCGCTAGCGCCCTCGCGCGCCCCTCGCAGCGTCGCCCGCCCGCCGAGCCGCCCGCTCGCAGCGTCGCCCGCCCGCCACGCTGCCCGCTCGCCCCTCGCCCGCCGCGCTGCCTGCTCGCAGCGTCGCCCGCTCGCCCCGCTGCCCGCTTCGCAGCGTCGCCCGCTCGCTCGCTGCCCGCTCGCAGCGTCGCCCGCCCGCTTCGCAGCCCGCTCGCCCCGCTGCCCGCTTTGCAGCCCGCCCGCCCGCCCGCTGCCCGCTTCGCGGCCCGCCCGCTTCGCTGCCCGCTCGCAGCGCCGCCCGCCCGCCCGCTACCTGCTTCGCAGCGTCGCCCGCCCGCTTGCTGCCCGCTCGCGGCTTCGCCCGCCCGCCCGCTGCCCGCTTCGCAGCCCGCCCGCCTCGCTGCCCGCTTGCAGCGTCGCCCGCCCGCCCGCTGCCCGCTTCGCAGCCGCCCGCCGCGCTGCCCACTCGCCGCGTCGCCCGCCCGTCCCGCTGCCCGCTTCGCAGCCCGCCCGCCGCACTTCCCGCCTGCAGCGCCGCCCGCCTCGCCTGCTGCTCCCTGCCTGTGCACCGCCGCTTGCTCCTGCTGTGGCTGCTAGCTTCGCTCTAGCGCGTCCCCTCTGCTGCTGCCGCTGCTCTGCTGTGCCCTCACGCCTGAGCTATGGCCTCTATTCGCGTTCTTTCCTTCGATGCTGAGGGCCGTCCCGTGCAGTTCACTTCCTGGCTCGACGACCTGCAGTTGTATCTTATGAGCAATAGCACGGACCACATCTCCCTCTATGACTACGCGTCTGGTGCTGCCGCTGCTCCTGCTGCCACAGCCGAGCTTAGTGTTCGTTCCCACTGGCAGACTCGTGACGCAGCTGCTCGCCTAGCCATTCGCAGTCACCTGCCGCTAGCTGAGCTCGAGCATTTTGGCGACTGCAAATCCGCTAAGGCCCTGTACGATGCTGTCGTTGCTCGCTACTCCTCGCCTGCCACAGCCGAGCTTAGCCGCCTCATGCTGCCGTACCTGTTCCCCGATCTGTCCACCTTTGCTACAGTCGCCGATCTTATCACCCACCTTCGCACTAGTGATGCTCGCCTGCGTGCCGCCCTTCCCACCGAGTTCTGCGCTAAGAACCCCCCTCCACTGTACTGGACACTCCACTTCATAGTCACCCGTCTCCCTGACACCCTCAGCTCAGTTCGAGACCACTTCCTTGCTCGCTGTCCCACTGAGCTCACAGTCACCCTCCTAGAGGAGCAGCTGCTCGCGGCCGAAAAGAGCATTGTAGCTGTCGGTGCTGCTCGTGGCGCTCCTCGCACCCCCATCTTTGAGGGGTGTTCTCCCTCTCCCCTCGCTCCCTCCTACGCTACTGCTGCTGCTGTTGACTTCCTTGGTGCTGAGTCTGCTGGCGCTGCTTCTGCTCCTGGTGGGAGGCGCCGCACCGGCAAGGGCAAGGGGGGCAAGGGTGGTGGTGGTGGCGCTGGGGGGGGAGGAGGTGGGGGAGGTGGGGGGGGAGGCGGTGCTGGAGGGAGCGGTGGCGGGAGCGCTGGTGGGAGTGGGGTCGGCGGTGGAGGCGGGGGCGGCGGAGGGAGCGGTGGCGGTGGTGGCGGCGGCGGCGGTGGCGGCGGCGGCGGCAGTGGCGGTGGCGGCGGTGGCGGTCGGAGCGGTGGTAGTGGTGGCGGCGGAGGTCGGAGTGGAGGCACTGGCTCGGGCCAGAGCTCCCAGCAGCAGCAGCGTCCCCAGACGACCCAGCAGCTTCGTGAGTGGCTTGCTCAGCGTGGGACGTCGGGGGGCAGTGGCCGCTGTTCTTATGTCATTCGCACAGGTGACCGCAAGGGACAGACGTGTGGGAGGTTCCACACCCCGTACCGCTGCTTCTCCCGCCTTGACGACGCTTGGCGTGAGGAGATGGGTGCGGATGTTGAGCGCCCCCGCTGGGCTGAGCTCATGAGGGCTGGTGTTGATGTCTTTGCTCTTGACTATGATGCTATTATTGCTGCCATGTATGCATTGACTGTTAGTGCCGAGGGAGACTGTTACTTGTGTGTGCCGCCTGACCCAGGTATAGAGCCCGCTGCCCTGGGTACTAGTGAGTCTGCTCTCTCAGGTACAGCACCCACAGAGACTGCTCTCTCAGGTACCGCACCGGCTGAGGCCTGTCACACCTTCACCCTTGACTCAGGTGCTTCCCGTTGCTTCTTTCGTGACAGTACTGAGCTCACACCGCTTCCTGCACCGGTCCCAGTCTCCTTGGCTGACCCCTCTGGGGGCCCAGTCCTTGCCCAGTCCACCACTGTCCTCCCTTGTCCGGCGGTTCCGTCTGGCTCGTTGTCGGGTTTCCACCTCCCCTCGTTCTCGACGAACCTGGTGAGCAACGCTGTCATCCAGGATCAGTGGGTTGACACCTTTACCCCTGGAGGACAGCGTGTGGCGATCTGCACGTGCTCCAGGACCGGCCGTCACCTGGCTACGTTTACCCGTCGGCCGGGGTCGAGTCTCTACACACTGACCACTGCGTCTCCTCAGGTCGCTGCTGTCGGTCAGGTGTCTGCGTCAGGTCTGGTAGCCCACGCCTGTGAGTGTCGTTCCCTGTCGCACCAGACTCTTCTCTGGCACCACCGCCTGGGTCACCCCTCCTTGCCACGCCTTCGTGGCATGCACCGTCGCCACCTTGTGTCTGGTCTTCCCAGGTCCCTCCCTCCCCTCCCTGCCTCGCCTGCGCCGCCTTGCCTTCCTTGCGTTGAGGGGCGGCAGCGCGCCGCTCCTCACTCCTCCTCGTTCCCCCCGACAGAGGCTCCTCTGCAGACCCTCCACCTGGACGTGTGGGGCCCAGCCCGCGTTCGTGGCCAGGGCGGTGAGCGGTACTTTTTGCTGGTTGTCGACGACTACTCGCGTTACACCACGGTCTTCCCCTTGCGCACCAAGGGTGAGGTCCCTGCTGTTCTGATCCCTTGGATCCGCACAGTTCGTCTCCAGCTCCGCCGCCGTTTCCGGACGGATCTTCCTGTCCTGCGTCTGCACTCTGACAGAGGTGGTGAGTTTTCCTCCGATCTCTTGAGGACCTTCTGTCAGGCGGAGGGCATCGAGCAGACCTTCACGCTTCCGGACTCCCCGCAGCAGAATGGGGTTGCTGAGCGCCGCATTGGCCTGGTCATGGAGGTCGCTCGTACCTCCTTGGTCCACGCGGCGGCTCCCCATTTTCTGTGGCCGTTTGCTGTCCGGTACGCCGCGCATCAGCTCAACCTCTGGCCCCATGTCTCCTTGCCGGAGACCTCGCCCACACTGCGTTGGACGGGGGAGGTTGGCGATGCGTCGCGCTTCCGGGTGTGGGGTGCTCGTGCCCTTGTCCGCGATACGTCCGCGGACAAGCTCTCCTCCCGCACGCTTCCCTGTGTCTTCCTTGGCTTTGTCCCTGACGCGCCTGGCTGGCAGTTTTACCACCCCACCTCGCGCCGGGTCTTCGCCTCTCAGGATGTCACCTTTGACGAGTCGGTCCCTTTTTACCGTCTCTTCCCCTACCGCACTGCCCCCCTCCCTCCCCCGCCGCTTTTCCTTGCTCCTGGTCCCCCTCCGGTAGACCCCCTTCCCCCTCAGGGTCCTGCTCCTTCAGGTGTCTCTCAGGTAGACCCTCCTCCCGTCGCTGAGCCTGTCGAGGTCACAGGTGACTCAGGTGCTGCTGCAGGTGGTACTGCTGGGAGTGCTGAGCCTGGGGGTGCTGAGCCTGCGGGTGCTGGGCCTGGGAGTGCTGGGACTGCGGGTGCTGGAGCTGAGGGTACTGTGCCTGAGAGTTTGCCGCCTGGGGGTGCTGAGCCTGGGGGTGCTGCGACTGAGGGTGCTGAGCCTGCGTGTGCGGAGTCTGGGGGTGCTGAGTCTGGGGGTGCTGAGCCTACGGGTACTGAGCCTGGGGGTGCTGCTACTGAGCCTACGGAGCCTCGGGTTACTGCGTCTGGGGGTGCTCCGGTTCGGGGTGCTGAGCAGTCTCTCACACCGCAGCAGCTTCGTGACTGGTACGTCCGGCGCTTTCGCCGTCCTAGTGGCTCGGCTGGAGTTGGGGGTACTGGAGCTACCGGGACTGGTTGTTCTGGGAGCACTGCGACTGGAGCTGCTGGAGCTGGGGACTCTGGCGCTGGCGGTGCTAGCGGAGTTGGAGCTGCCGACTCTGGGGGTGGCGCTGCTGCTGGTGCTGCGGACCCGCCTGGTGGAGCTGCTGCTGGAGCTGAGGACCCGAGCGGTGGCGCTGCTGCTGGTGCTGGGGACCCGGACGTTGGAGCTCCTGCTGGTACTGAGGACCCGGCCGCTGGAGTCTCTTCTGCTTCTGGAGCCGCTGCGCGGCCGCGACCGTACTTCGTTCCGCTCCTTCAGCAGGTTCTTGGGCAGGCTCCTCCTCCTTGTCCTCCTCCCTCCGTAGAGTGTCCTCCGCCTGTCCAGCCGCAGTCACAGTTACCGCCTGCCTCGCCTCTCCCTGCTCCCTCTCCTTACACTGGTCCCACAGGAGGTCTTACAGAGCGTCGTGAGCCTGAGTCTCGTCCTGCGTCGCCTGTTCGTCTTGCTCGCACTGGTAGTCGTGTCCGTCGTGAGCGTCCTCCTCCTGTCCCAGGCACTCACTACATGACTCTGCGTCCCTCTACTGCTCCTCGGCGTGTCCCTCTACCGTCTCCTCCTGCGTCCTCTTTGCCTGCCATTCCGGACCCTGAGTCTGACCGGTATCGCGCTGAGCACCCTACAGTCACGCGTCTCCTAGCTACTGTTGTCACTGACCCTACCTTTGAGTCCTCGGCTGCGTCTGCTCTGGTCGCTGAGTTGGTTGCCTTTGCTGCTGCCTGTCGTCTAGACTACGCTGCTAGCCTTGTTGCTGAGCCTGCGTCTGCGTCTGTCTGTCCTCCGTCCGTCGGGGGTGAGTGTGCTCTTGGCACGGACGTCCTTGAGGACAGGCAGGTTGACTTTGACTCTCTTGCGGCTGCTGTACCTCATCTCGTGGCCTGGTTGCTTGCCCCTGAGGGAGACCCGGATGCACTAGACATCCCCACTCCGCGCACTTACGCAGAGGCGATCTCGGGTCCCTACTCCTCTCAGTGGCAGACAGCCATGGACGCAGAGATGGCATCCTGGAAGTCCACAGGCACCTACGTCGACGAGGTTCCCCCTCCTGGGGTGAACATCGTCGATGGCATGTGGATTTTCAGGGTGAAGCGGCCGCCAGGTTCTCCGCCTGTCTTCAAGGCTCGTTACGTTGCTAGAGGCTTCAGTCAGCGTCAGGGGGTCGACTTCTTCCAGACCTTCTCCCCCACCCCGAAGATGACCACTCTTCGGGTTCTGCTGCACGTTGCTGCTCAGCGTGACTACGAGCTTCACTCTCTTGACTTCAGCACAGCGTTCCTGCAGGGCAGCCTGCACGAGGAGATCTGGCTGCGCCGCCCACCTGGCTTTACTGGGTCGTTTCCCCCTGGTACCCAGTGGAGTCTCCGCCGGCCAGTCTACGGTCTCCGCCAGGCGCCACGTGAGTGGCACGACACACTGAGGACTACACTTGCGGCTCTTGGGTTCGCGCCGTCTACTGCTGACCCGTCGCTGTTTCTGCGCACAGACACGTCGCTGCCGCCGTTCTACATTCTCGTGTACGTCGACGACTTAGTCTTTGCTACTGCTGACACTGAGGCACTCGCTCGTGTGAAGTCGGAGCTGCAGAAGAGACACACCTGCACTGACCTGGGTGAACTGCGTAGCTACCTTGGCTTGCAGATCACCCGGGACAGAGCTCGCCGCACCATCACCCTGACTCAGTCACACATGGTGCAGCAGGTCCTTCAGCGCTTCGGCTTCCAGTTCTCCTCACCACAGGCCACACCTCTGGCTACCAGCCACTCGCTCTCAGCTCCACCTTCGGACGAGTCCGTAGAGCCGAGTGGCCCGTACCCAGAGCTTGTAGGCTGCCTCATGTACCTGATGACTTGCACGCGCCCTGACCTCGCGTACCCTCTTAGCATCCTTGCTCGTTACGTTGCGCCTGGGAGACACAGGCGAGAGCACTGGGAGGCTGCTAAGAGGGTGCTGCGTTACTTGTGCAGTACATCAGGCATGGGGCTGGTGCTTGGAGGACGCGACAGAGTTGTCCTCACTGGTCACTCGGACGCTTCTTGGGTGGACGACCTGGCTACGCAGCGGTCGTCACAGGGTTACACCTTCAGCCTTGGCTCTGGTTCTGTCTCGTGGCGGTCCACCCGCTCTTCCTCTGTTCTCGGCTCTAGTTGTGAGGCTGAGATCTACGCCACAGCCATGGCTGCACAGGAGTTACGCTGGCTCACCTACCTGCTGACTGACTTGGGAGAGCGGCCTAGTTCTCCTCCAGTTCTGTACGGTGACAACAAGGCGGCTCTTGCCTTGTGTCAGGAGCACAGACTGGAGCACAGGACGAAGCACATTGCTCTTCGCTACTTTCTTGCTCGAGAGCTTCAGCAGCGCGGTCAGCTTCGGCTTGTGTACGTGGACTCGAAGGCCAACACTGCTGATATCTTCACCAAGGCGCTCCCGCCTAGTGATCATCAGCGGCACTGTACTTCTTTAGGCCTTGTGTCCACGTTTCCTCACTTGCTCACTGCTTGACATTCTTTGTACTGTACTTTATATATATCTTGTTGCTTGCTTGCTAGGTTTTGATCACTGTGTTGCTTGCCTTGTACTATATCTAGCACTGCATGTGAACTGGCCTTGTGGCCTTTACTTGTGCTCGGAGTGTGGTGACGTTGTGATCCACCCTGGGCTTTGCTTTGCTTTGCTGGACTGGTCTTGTGACCCTTTGTTCTCCCCCACTTTGCCTATGGGGGTGTGTTAAACTGTATTATGCTTGTAGGCTGTAGTGGGGTAGCCAATATGGGGTACAACCCCAACTAGGGTTTCATATTTGTACCCAAACTTCTGCTAGTTCATCTATTCTTGCCTAGTGATTCTAACACAGCCCACATCGACCAACCGGTCCCCACGGAAGAAGTCGGTGGCGCTGAAGCAGCTCAAGAGGGAGCTAGAGGTCAACAAGAAGCTGCGACGACCTCAAACCTCCTCTACAGATGCATCTGAAACATTTGCAACATCTACCCTACGAGGGAATTCTACTACGAGCTCGAGAACCACGTCGTCGACGACAATAAAAAATCCTAGCAATATGGAAAGGCAGGACCGGCAACCTGGCACCCAAGAAGATACCACGTCAGTCTGCCTTTCCCACAGTCCCTCCTTGTTGCCCCTCCGTCAGGCCCCAAGTCCAAGGCGGCACAATTTCATCAGCTTCTCACCATGTCTACGCTCTTCCACTTTCATCTCGTAGATGTTTCTGCTTGGAACTTTGCCTGTAGTGTTGATAGATGTGGTTTTGGTGAAGTTGCAGCGCCTGTGAGATCAACATTGCACGTTGCTCATCCTTGCGCCAAAATTGCACATGTACATTTGGGCGAAACTAGCTGCCAATCAGATATGAGGAAGAACTGCTCTTGTTCCTGGTTCAGTTCGCAACTCGTTCGGAGGTGGGAAAAAAAATTCTCACCACACTTCCAACTTCCCAAAATATTACAAAGACTAGAGACTTCAAGTTGGGCCCAACTAGAAGGGGGGGGTCATTATTTTAGCTGCTGGCTTTAAAGACAACTCTTTACAAGTCTGCTACACTATGGCCCCCGAAGGAAAAGCCACTGCAGACTCTCCGGGCCCACCACCAGCAACACCTAATGCGCCCTCAGCGGTGACTTCCGTCAACGCCCTCTGATTGAGCAGCTAGTCACTCGCATCAACGCACTTGAGAGCCATCAAGCTATAAGCATTGACGGCTCTGTTAAACAGGCTAGGCGAAAACGAGAAATAGGCAAAGAGGATTTTGACTAACAAGCATAAGGATACATATAGCAAACCTTAGAAGGGATGTACTCGCTATAGAGTACCCCACTGCAGGCTAGACAACCATTACATTCTGACACACCCCCATAGTCAAAGTGGGGTACAATCAACACAACAAGCAGGCAGAGCAGTAGGTTCACAAATACAAGCAAAGCTAGAGGCTATCACAGAGGGCAAGTGAGGAGGAGGAGAAACTGTGGGAGCAAGAAGATGAGAGGCGACGGCTGAAGCTGCAGACACACGGGCAGCAGGAGTGCGCCGCACTGTCGCTACCAGGCTAAACCCGGACTACACGGCGACAGGGGGTCGCAGCTGGCTCGCTGTGCTCCCAGGGGAGCTCACACTGTGGCTACCGGGCGCAGAGCCCCGGACTACACGGCCACAGGGGGACTCGGGCCAACACTGCTGATATATTCACCAAGGCACTTCCGTCTGGTGATCATCAGCGCTTTTGTACTTTGTTAGGCCTTGTGCCTACGTTTCCACACTTTCTGTAGTCTTTTGTGTATACTGTGCTCTATATTTATACCTGCATGCTTGCTCTTGCTAGGTATTGATCACTGTACTGCTCTTGTTGCTTATATATATCTCTGCATGTGGACTGGCCTTGCGGCCCTTTGCTTGTGCTCAGAATGTGTGGTGACGTTGAGATCCACCCTGAGCTTGCTTTGCGTCTCTTGACTGGTCGTGTGACCCCTTGTTCTCCCCCACTTTGCCTATGGGGGTGTGTCAAACATATATGCTGCATATTGTCTAGGCTGCAGTGGGGTAGCCCATATGGGGTACAACCCAATTAGGGTTTACTACTTGTACTCCTGCATGCTGTTAGTTCATCATTCTTGCTACTAGATTCTAACAGCCCGTACGGGCTGCGCCAGGCCTGCGCGCGGCCCGTACAGCCCGCGCGCGGCCCGTACGGCCTGCGCTAGGCCCGCGCGCGGCCCAGGCAGCCCGCGCGCGGTTCGTCCGGCCTGCGCCAGGTCCGTGCGCGGCCCGTACAGTCCGCCCCAGTGCCGCACGCCGTCCCCCGAGCTTCTGACCGCGCCCCACCCCCGCTGCTGCCCGCGCTCCTGTGTTAGGGTTTGGGGGTGGAGAGTATGGGGGTGGAGAGTATGGGGGTGTTGTGTGTGTGAGCCGTCCCCTGCTCCTCCTCCTCCGTCTCCCACTGCTGCAGCTACCGCTGAGGGGGGTGGATGTGTTGGAGCCGTCGGAGTGGTACGAGGGGGGTGGCGTGTGAGCGGTGCTAGAGGTTCAACAGGGAGTGTGTGAAAGGGGTGTGGGACAGCTGGGGGAGGTTGAGTGGAGGCAGCCGTCTTGTCGTCCGCAGCGCCTGTAGTCCAGAGAGCCAGCTGCGTCTGTGGCCTGAGTAGTCCGGGGCTCTGCGCCTGGTAGCCACAGTGTGAGCACTTCTCGTAGTCCAGAGAGCCAGCTGCGTCTGTGGCCTGAGTAGTCCGGGTATAGCCTGGTAGCTACAGTGTGAGCACTCCTGGGAGCACAGAGAGCCAGCTGCGCCTGTCGCCTGAGTAGTCCGGGTTTAGCCTGGTAGCGACAGTGCTGCGCACTCCTGTTGCCCGTGTGTCTGTAGCTTCAGCCGTCGCCTCCCATCTTCTCACCCCCGCAGTTTCTCCTCCTCCTCACTTACTCTCTGTGATAGTCTCTAGCTTTGCTTATCATTGTGAACTACTGCTCTGCCTGCTTGCTGTGTTGATTGTACCCCACTTTGACTATGGGGGTGTGTCAGAATGTGATGTTTGTCTAGCCTGCAGTGGGGTACTCTATAGCGAGTACAGCCCGAATTAGGGTTTGCTATATGTACTCAACTGCCTGCTAGTGAAACCCCTCTTTCCTGTTTCTAGTTTGTGCCTGCTATTCTGACACATTTACCTTTGACAACCGTCAAGCTTCAGCTCCTGCACAAGACAATCAACATCGCACACAGCCAAAAGCAATTGCAACCATGCAAACCAAGTTTGTTCTGATTTCAAAGCTGAAGACTTCAACTCCATTCATTTGACGGCAAGGATTTCTACACGTGGAGCTTCGAATTTGAACTTCTCGCAACAACTGCCCAGATCTAGATGTATACCACGGGAGTTTCCCCTTCCCATCGGAAGGCACCATCCAGGAGAAGCACCAGTACTACCACAAATCTCTTCTCGCTTACACCGCACTTCTTCGAAATCTCTCCCCCTCTGAGCAGCTCGGCATCCGCTCCTTTAAAACGGAGTGTGCTCCTGCGCAGCTGTCCTGGGAACACCTGCGCAATTCATACATGGCAACAGATCCGGTTACCATGAGGCGACTGCTCAGTCAATTGACATCTATCAAAATGCAGCAAGGGGAGAAAGCGGGACCGTATATCAACCGGTGTCGCAATCTATGCGATCATATTAAGAAGTGTGGCGGAACCGTCCCTGGCGACATGCTCGTCTCGATGATTCTTTCCGGCCTTGGACCCGATTGGCGCCAATGCCAGTCGTTGCTCCGCGCTAGAGCAACCATTTCCGAGTCCGCCCTCCGTGCCACCCTTCTCTCCGAGCAGAAGGAAATGGATTTGTACAATGAGAAGAACAACAAGCGGGAGAAATTAGCGTTCTTCGCGGGGTCAATTGAAGAGGAGCAGCATGAAAAGAAGGGAACCTTCTGCAAATACTGCAAGAAGCCCGGCCACACCATAGATCGGTGCTACAAACGAAAGGCTGCCGATGAAAGACGCAACAATAACTCATCTGGTCAGCAGCCCTCAGGGCCCCCGACAACTCCAGCTGCAACGACGACCGTGTCACCACCTTCCGTCGCAAGCACCTCGCAAGCTCCTGCACGCATCTCATCCAAAGACAAAAGCAAGGGTTCAATCTTGAGCTGCATGGCTCGGCGTCGCAGAGATATCCGGTACTATGAGAACATCGAGTACCCACGAATCGCACCCATCGCCCCCGTTACGCCAAACCCGAACAATGACCCTACGCTCAGTCTCTGGATCGACAAACCCACCAATATCCCACCTGATTTCGAGCTACCTCCAATCACTCTGGAGTCATTTCCCAGCCTCCCTACCAGAAAATGCATTGACCTCTCACCATACACGGGCGACTTCGACCGCATAGTCACTCCAAAGATTGTCGGCATCGCGCGGCAGAACCGCGAGAGCGTCAACACCTGGTATCTTGATAGTTGCTGCGGACAGCACATGGTGGGATCACCAATGCTCATCAGTAACTCAAGGCGGATGAGGCGACCGTGTGAAATCACCGTCGCCAACAACGACCGACTCAAGGCATACGACATCGGTGAAATTTACCTTGAGGCCGAAGACACAAAGTTCACCATTCACATTGGAGACGTGCTGGTTGCTCCAGATCTGCAGTACAACCTACTCTCTTCGGCGCAACTCATGCGGTGCGGAGTCGACATTCGCAGCAACTGCAAAGACAAGGCCTTCGAATTATTTTACAAAAACACTTCCATCGGAAAAGTTGTCGACGACGACGGAGTCTTCGTGCTGAATTTCTTGGCTCAAGGCACCACTCGAGACTCCGACCGCACCTTGCTGCTGAAAACGACTCCCACGGAACAGCCGACCTGGTCGCATCCAAAGGAGACGGACCTTGAACGACCAGCCTCTGATGGACTTCTTCGCTTGCGCGCTGTTCTGACTGCCTCAACCTCTACGCCGGTGACACCGGACCTGCAACGATGGAACAGGAGGAGGTCAGCAA